GGGTCAGATTCTAGTCATAATTAGGGAGCAGAGGGAGAGGAGGCGGGGAGGGTGACCGACAATGGATTATGAATAATCGAAAACGTTCGATTGCTTAACTCGACTTCCTGAATGCTTACATGAGTATCATCTTTCAAAGAATAAAAAGTATCAACCATATTCAAAAAGTTCTGACAAACCCTCAATGGAATATCGAGAAAACTTGTCTTTCGAATTCACTAATAAGGCAGTTTCTAAGAAACATATCACCTACTGGGTTCTCACCATATTAAAACAGTTTTCCCGCTTATTTATTGTAGAAACTCCTTTTAAATTGGAATTCCGTTTTGGTAAATTAGAGCTTTTCTGACACTAAGTCTTCTGATGGTTCTTCTATAAGCGGACCGAAGAATAGATTCCTCTGTGCAGTTTGAAGACCGAAGCAAAATACTCGAGAGGAGTTTTTGAAATCTGCGTGAATGCTTTTCTTCTATGCTGATACAAGCAACTAACGCACCCAGGTTCAAGGAAAATCCGGTGACAAAGGGAAGTGTCACAAAGGAAGGAAGAGCTTACAGCATGATCGTTCCCACGGACACCCCCAGATTCTCCAGCATTTGTTCTTAAACTTTCTTGCATACTTTAACTGTATCTATAGACTATTTGGCCTACCAGCAGGTGACGTAACACGCTTTAAGTGCGCATTAGTTAATATCTGATTGTGATCACGAGGCAAGGGGAGATATGCAGAGGATCACTTGACAAAAGCTTGTGCTGATTTTGGGTGTGAATACTTACTGCTAGACGGTGGGAATGTTCTTCTTGAAAAGACACACAGGATGAAGTGTTTGTGACCCCTGACAATGGTCGTGCAATTTGGATTGTGGTATAAACAAAAGAAATTCAACTTATATCGAGCCAGGATTCTTAAAATGTGGTTTTTAATCACGTTTTTTTTAAAAAGGGCTGAACCTTTGAAATGTTTTTTAGGGTTCGACTAGGCTCACACAGAAATGTTTGCGCTTCTCCTTTCCCTTTTCCCTTTATGCTTTGGTTGTCATCGGAGCAAAGGCAGTAAGAAAATGGTTTTTAAGGAGAAGCAATGGATTTGGGCTGAGAATGCAGATATCTATTGCAGAAAAATAAGCCTTGACGGCTTCACGCATTTGGTATATAGATAATTCACCACATCGGATTATGAATTCCATGTAGTCAAAAAGTCCGTGCTGTGGACTGTTGTTTGTAGGATAGACGTTTCAATGGAGGAAAGGAGAGGTAAAGACTGGGGGACACAAGCAATCTCAAGAAGATTCGATTATGTTTTAAGATGACAAAACTGCTGCCTGAGCTCACATTTTACACATTAAGAGATAATTATAGCGCATATAGCCTCTTAAGAGGACAGTAGAAGTGAAATCATCCGCAATGCAGGTGTCTTTATGCCAAACTAAAGGAAAAATTGGGTTATTTTTTTCGTCAAGTTTAAGGTTGACGTTAAGGTAAGTTGGGGTTATTTTTGGGTTAATGTCGCGGTAAGTGTTAACTCTGGAGTGAGCAGTAAGTTATGTTT